GGTCAGAGATGAAATGAAAACCACAACTCAAACTCAAAATAATCTGAAGGGATGTAAACGAGAAGGCAAAGTAAAATGCAACCATACTTGCAAGTATAACAGCCCATAAATTTTGATGGGAAAACTCTGATTCATGCCTAGGAAGGAAGTCAACTGACAAAGAACTGACAGAGAAGATTAATTAACCTCTTCAGAGAATTTTGACTAATCCCAAAAAGTTAGAAAGGGGGAATGACACTCTTCCAGCATAAAAGACTGCAGCTGAAAGCTAGTTTAGGACACTATAAATACATTCCAAGAGAAGACCATAACAAAACAAAAGAATCTTTACATTTCATTTATCACCTAGAACAAGGTTCCCTAGCCCCCAGGCCACATCCCACCGCTTGTGCAGCCCAGTTCCCCTCTCCCCTGCCCACCCAGATGCCATGTTGCAAATGTTGGGAACCACTGAACTAGAATGCTAGAGACCTGTGATGGTGAACTTATGGCATGCGTGCCAGAGGTGGCACTCAGAGTTCTCTCTCTGGGCACGCGAGCCATTGCCTCAGCTCAGTTCTGCCATGCATGCACGCACACCTCTCTGAACACCTCCCACTACCCAGCTGGTCTTTGGGTCTCTGTCGTGCATGGATGGGGGGCACACACGCAGGGGTTGTGTGCATGTGTGGGAGCAGGGCACATCCGTGGGGGGCACATGTGCAAAGGGTTACACATGCATGCTCGGGGGTCATGGGGTCACATGCACATATATGGGGGTTGTTGGGGGGTCATGTCCATATGCATGGTGGCGCATGCATGGGGTGCATGTGTGTGTTGCATTTTAGGGATGCGCGTGCACACTTTCAGCACTTGGTACCAAAAAGGTTAGCCATCACTACTATATTTGCAATGATCATACCACAGACTACTTTTATAAAACCTTTCTATACTTCTTGACACATATAAAAATATTTGCACAATTTCTGGTCTTTTGGAATTCAAGATAACAATCTTTAGTCCTTGATTTTTAATCAGGCAAAGTGAACTGCTGGGGAATTATTTTATTAATATTATATTGTTTTCTCCAAGTGATAGGCCAAGACCAATCTGTAATTATTCTTCAGACATCATTTGCCCTTTGTGTGAATGACAAATCTCATTCAGCTCCTTTCAACAGAACCTAAGCAAGGAAGAAAATACTTTGGCATCGGCCCTGATGATGATGTTATCCATTCGGCCATGTTTGACTGTCGGTTATTGTATGGGCCAGAGCTCTCCCATCTCTTTCAAACCTACACTATTTGTTTGAATTGTTTTATGCTCTGGCTGGTGTCAGCTTTGATGGTCAGCCATCGTGTTCTCTGACAGCCTGGTGTCCTTTTTCCGCTAACCCTTCCTAACATAATTACTTTCTCCAATGAATTGCTCCATGTGACATGGCATGGCATTGGCTCTACTAACCTTCAAAACTTCAGAATTGAAGCAAAAGTACACTGTAAATGCTTTACGCTACATGCTGCAAAACTTCCTTTTATAGCTGGCTGTCAAACGGCATCAGCCAATAGGAATGGTCTGTGTTCCCGCTGGAAACAGCTCAGTCTTTTCCGAACGCCACACATACTATACAGTTCCTGATTTGACATGGCTAGCAGATGCCTTACATCTCAATTCTATCCACGTCTGTTCAAATATCCCCAAGAATTAAATGGGCTTTTCTCCCCCAGATGTGGTACACTTTGACTTATGACTGGAACCACTTGTTTGATAAAAGTGAACAGAGTGGAAAAATCAGTTTAGGAATCATTAAAAGTCATCTGAGGAACAGCTTAAAAGTAGTTATATTGAACTCCTCTCATTATAGATGTTCACAAGTCAAAATAATAATTCTGAAATAATATAGTTCTATTAGGAGAAGAAACTTAATGAAAGCTGATTGAAAAAGCTTTAGGACAGCTGCTCATACCAGAACTGAGTCTAATAATGACATTAACAAATACCATAGTTTTACAGTGACAGGAGTACATTAACTTGTGTGCCCCTATATTAAATAAATGGACTGATACTACTACTCGATAAAATATATATTCTGCTACTATTTTAAAATGGATTCTATAGCAGGGGCTGTGGAATAAAGCAGCATTGCAGAGCTAAATTCAGTGATGTTTAACAGCTTCCAAAAGGAGGAAAGTTATGTGAAGAAATTATATTTCTAAGGAAATATAAACAACAATGAATATTTAATATTCTTTAAATCTAGAACCTAGAAAAGTTATCTGAAAAGATGTATTATGATGCGCAACTTTTATTTTATTTATCAATTTACATGATACAATTTACATAGTAACTTTGGGGAGTTTAATGAGAAGAAGAAGGAACATCTCTAAATTTAAATATTGCATCCATCACAATTTCAACCTGGGGTTAGGTTGTGGGGAAAGGGAAAATAATTTCAACTACAAATACTAATCTTAAAATACTATTGTTCTCACTGCTCAACAGAATAGAAATTGTTTAACATTATTGACAAAATACACAAATCAATTTGAAAATAAACTATTTAGAAATATATATAGTGCAGTATTAGAAAAAAAATGTATAAATTTTCTGTTTTTAATTGGATTATACTGAAAAAATGACACAAACATTTTTCACACTTATGACCATTGCAGCATCCCCACAGTCATGTGATAAAAAATCAGATGCTTGGCAACTGATTCATATTTATGACTGTTGCCATGTCCCAGGGATATGTGATCATCTTTTGTAAGCTTCTGACAAGCAAAGTCAATGGGAAACTAGATTCACTTAACAACCATGTTATCAACTTAACAACTGCAGTGGTTCATCTAACAACTGTGACAAGAAAGGTCGTAAAATGGGGTAAAACTCATTAATGTCTCATTTCACAACATTAATTTTGGACTCAATTATGGTCATATGTCAAGGACTACCTGTATAAAATGCAGTGCTAAAATACAATATAACGTTTAAGCAAAAAAAAGTAAAAATAACCATTGATCAGTTGCATTGGTAGAAACTCTGAAGGGGAACTAAAAATGCTTCACATTTTACTTAAAAAGTTAAGTACAGATGACACCCAACTCTTTCTTTTTGTGAATAAATGCGAAGGCATAATACAGGTGAAACTTGAAAAATTAGAATATCGTGCAAAAGTTCATTTATTTCAGTAATGCAACTTAAAAGGTGAAACTAATATATGAGATAGACTCATTACAAGCAAAGCAAGATAGTTCAAGCCGTGATTTGTCATAATTGAGATGATTATGGCTTGCAGCTCATGAAAACCCCAAATCCACACTCAGAAAATTAGAATATTACATGCAATCAATAAAACAAGGATTGTACATAGAACAATATTGGACCTCTGGAAAGTATAAGCATGCATATGTACTCAGTACTTGGTTTGGGCCCCTTTTGCAGCAATTACTGCCTCAATGCAGCGTGGCATGGAAGCTATCAGCCTGTGGCACTGCTGAGGTGTTATGGAAGACCAGGATGCTTCAATAGCAGCCTTCAGCTCTTCTGCATTGTTCGGTCTCATGTCTCTCATCTTTCTCTTGGCAATGCCCCATAGATTCTCTATGGCGTTCAGGTCAGGCGAATGAGTGGGATTGAATATATGCATAAATAGCAGGATACTTCTGTTATCATCAAAAACCCGTGGAGTGTTGTTGTGAATGATGGTTACAATAGTGTAATTAACAAACACTACACATTTTTTATTTTCTTATTACCTCACAGTTTACACTATTACTCATTCCAGCTACAGAATCTTAAAAGTCATAGCAAAGATACTGTACTTTTAATGAAAGATTGTTAATTTTATCCTTTGTTCCATATGATTTTGTATAGAGACCTCCTTTCCTTTGCAGAAACGTATCCCAACCTTCCTATATGACATTTGGAATACATGTTTTCCTTAATGTTTAAGTTTGGAACAACTGTTGTTGCTACAAATTTTGTTATAAGCATTTGTTGCAAACCCTGGAATTTAAAAGAGAAATTCCTGCACTGGTTTTGTCATTGGGCAGTTGGATCCTCTTGTAAATCTCGTTTCCCTACAGATTATGTTCTATTCTTGTAAATATATATCTATACTAGTTTATTTATACACACACAGACACCCCTGATTGTATTGTTCGTGCTTGTAAGTTTTTTCTAAATTGTAAGAGAATAGATTTGCAGTTAATGAAATTTCCATCTGAATCCCAACCTCAAATTATATTAGACAATCTCTGAAATTACTTGTACTAGATTGTCCTGTCCTAAAGCTAAACTAGACTGGAAAATCTCTGCAAATATCTGCCAGTCAGAACATTTTACATGTCCCAAGTAATGATCTTGATGACATGTTTTAACTAGGACAGAGAAACATAGCTTCTTATTTGAATATGTTAGCTTTGTTACCCCTTATTGCAGTATTAAAAATCATTCCAGACTGTCTCTCATAGTATTTCCAAAAGGACAATCTTGTTATTCTATCATTTTCATGGAGCACTTTAGGATTGCTCCTAAACAGGCATAAAAGCTTAAACCACACTCTCCTCCTTTTCACACATATTGTGCATATATCCAGAGAATTTCACATGTGTATCATCACAAGCTTTATTCTTGTTTGTAAACCCAACTGGTGAATGATAGTAACTGAAGCATTTTACAGCTACTGCTGTAATATTTGGCTGAAAGGTTATTTTTTAGGTTCCGTATCTCATATTACTTCGCTGTCACTTTACCTCTGCCTCGCTTTCATTGGCTGATTTAGCTTCTGTAACATTCAACAGTTGGCAAAAATCACTGACAAAATCACAAAAATCACTCATTTCACAAATGAGGAATACTATTGTACCTCTGTATCCTTTATTTGCTAGCAAAAGCCTCATGAACAAAGCAAAAGATAACAACAGTTCTGTTTCCTGTCGCGTTCCCAGCGCTTCACAGCTGTACTTACTTTGAGATGCTGATCCACTTGCCAGACAGAGGGATGATTTCCAGCCATACTGTGGGAATTACGTTGAGTGCCAAAATTTCCTAGAGCAGGAATGCTGATTAGGTCAACAATCAGCATTAGACCTAAGAAATGCAAAGCAAGGTATCCGTTAAACTGTTGGAAAAGCAAGTGCTGGATTTAAACTGCAGTAGGTATAAAAAGGACTGTGGTCTCATGTGGACTGTGGGCAACTAACTGCTTCAGGTGGCATCAGCCTAGTGTGCAATAAAGATTCTTATTGAGCCGTGTTGTGCTGAGCATGTCAGTAGCTTTTGCTGAGTTCAAGCCGAGGAGCCTGATACATTCACTGAGTTTGCAAAATCCCTTCATAATCCAATACAGCTATTGCTATGAAAGAAAGGGAGGGAGGGAGGGAGGGAGGGAGGGAGGGAGAGAGAGAGAGAGAGAGAGAGAGAGAGAGAGAGAGAGAGAGAGAGCTGTTTAAAAGAAATAGAAAAATGGCTCTTTGAGTGTTTAAGGTTGCAGACCCTGGGTTAGGCAAACACCATGGTCGTTAAGTGAACCTTGTGGTCATTAAGCAAACACTGGCTGTTAAACAAGTCCATTTTCCCCAATGGGCATTTTTAAATGGAAACCAGAAGGAATTGTTGGAAACAGGCAAAAAACATAGAAAACCTCAGTCACAAGACTGTGTGGGATATTGTAACTGGTCATAAGTGTGTGTGTGTGTGTGTGTGTGTGTGTGTGTGTGTGTGTGTGAAATAAAAAATATTTTCTGTTCATTACTGTTGCTTTAGTTTGGAGACATTACTGTTGTGGCTCTGATTCCCGAGCCTGTGCTGTTAGAGGAAGAGGACTCGGAAGATGAGGAGGAGGAACTGGGAATGCCTTCCTCCCCAGGACCTTCCTCTCTGGCAATGCCTTCCTCCCTGATAATACCTCCGGTTTCATCAGACAACCAAGAGGAACATCCTGAGATTAATCAGGAGGAGGAGGGCATATCGGAGCAGCCCCTGACAGGGAGTCAAGTGGACGAATGTTGGCTTGATCCTAGGCAGCGTCGTCGTAGGAGGAAATGTGAGCTGCAACGTAGGAGGCGTGGGAGGGTCAGAGAGTGAGCTGAGTCATTGAGACACACCCCACAGGGGATAAAAGTGGGTGTGTTTTCTCCGGAAACTTTGTATGGGACAAAGTTTACTTCTCTTCCAGGTTTCGTTGTGACTGTTTTTTGTGGTCTGCTTTGGAATCTTCAGTGAGTAGTTTCTCTTGTTATCTCTTCGGACTTGGCAGTATAAAGGATTAACTCTGTAAAGTCCGAGTCAGCTTGCCTGCCTGTGTTTGTGTGAGTTTGTTCTCTTTCATCTTTTTTGGAAAGAAGAAAGGTGAGACATAACACATTACTATTTTTTAAAAAATGGGAAAGGGTTCAATTTTAGCAGACAAAAGTCTGCTAAAATATATTGGCAATGAAATCCAGGGGAAAAAATGTTCAGGCTCACCTAAATAAGTAACCAAAAAGACTACTGAATTGAAAGGTTTACTCACCAGAAGATCTGTGTATAAAGAATGCAAGAATCCTGAACCAATAATTTGTCCTGGAAATTATACCTTTCTTCATTTATACCTAGTATTTCTATTTACTGACTACTAATATTCTTCAGCAACATCATATATTTATTATCTTCATCATCATTTCTAGATTCAGTCATTTCAAGGCTTAACTGTCATGCATTCAGTGATTCCAGTCCACAATATTTTATGCTGCTGTGAGCTGATGATTCTTTCATTATTGCAGCAATAAAAAGGCAGCAAAATTAATAATGTCCATAAGTAATCAACTGGAACATTCAGTTAATGTAAGACAAGCCTAGGTTCTAAATTAAGAAACATTCATTTATTTTCTGTAGAGCTTAAGTGCCACCCTTTCCAGTCAAACCATTCAGGAAACATAATCAGATCAACTAATACAAGTTTATTATAAGGCTACCCTAACAGAATCTTGCAAGCCTCCCAAAAATTTTTTTTACAGCTTAAGAAGTTAGGGAGGGTCCTTCTAATTCTCTTTCTCTCTTATTAGGCAGCTCCAGGCTATGCTCTCTCCTATCTGACATTTCCCTTGGCATCATCCCTTCCCACTATCTCCCAAAGACTTTCCCTTGTACCATTATACTAGGTGACACATTAACAAAATGCCTGCTATAGTAAATGCAATTGCCTTATACACTCAACAGGTGTGCTAATAAAGGTTATATAATACAGTTCAAATTAAGTTGTTGGAATCCAATATTCTCAAATTAGCAAAGTTCAAACATCAACACACACAAAGACACATGAGTAGTAAGAGTGGCAAACTCAAAAAAGCTCTGAGCTAATTACCATTTGCTTTCATTTAACAGTGTTACTAGGGTTCAACAGGACCCATAGAAAATGCTTTTGGGTTATTCCATTTCCCTATTCTTGTCTTACTGACTTCCCCTCTGGAGCGCTTTCTCTCCCCATCCCTCTTTCTCTCCCTTTCTTCAAAGCCTTCCCTCTTCTTTCTTTCTCTCTCCTCTTTATTCACCTTCAATTTTTATTAAAAGGAATTTTGTTCACTTTTTCCTTTAAAAACATAGATGTGTTCCAGGAGCAAAGCAGCATTTGCACATCTTTATTTCTCCAAAGGGCCTCTTGGGGGGGGTGTCAAGTGACAGCTGGACAGTAACTCTGCTGACTATTATTTTTATAATTACTTTTAAAATGTTTGTGGTGCAGAATGAGAGAACTTCTCAGCTACAGGACCTTGGACATGTGCCCAGCAACTCAACCATAGCAGCAAACTGCTTTCATGACCGTTAAACATCTAAGGCACAATCATAATCTGTTGTTACAATCATTACATATCTCTTCTACAACTATGAATAGGTCATAACTCCCATATTTGCCCACCATCACCTGCCCCTGATGTGCCTTTAATCTGTTTACATTTATTACTTTTCACGGAACACTTACCTCAATGGTATTGCACTCTGTTCTAATGCCAATGTGTACAGGTTAACAATGCAACAGACTATTTGCCCTAGCAATCATAACTCAAAGATAGGAGTCACTTGATGTACTGTTTTAACTATAGCTGAAATGTGTATAGTACACACTTTCAGATATTCACTTTGAAGTCAAGTTCTCTCCTGGGAACTATCTTAACTGAAAATAATGCTGCTGATGAATCAAAGACACTATTGTGGTGAGAGACAATTATTAAGAGAAAAAAGTATCATCATTATTATTGCACATGGGACCGGAACCTGTACATAGATATTCCCAAATCGAAAGGTTTTTTTTAAAAAAAAAACACAAACAAAACTAAAATACCCTAAACTTTAAATAAGAGAGCATAACAATAGATCCTGCTAGTTTTTCTCTACACATGGTTATCTCAAGGGAAAGGCAAGCATAAGAATAAAAGAGATACAATTAGTGCATGTATAATACATAGATGTGGGGTGACTGGAAATATGGGCTTTTCCATACGTACATCAGAAGGAAATTCATGGAAATAAATGAATCCTATAAATAAGACTTCGGCTACCTGTGTCTAGTCTGGGGCATTGAAGTGGAGCAATGTTAGAGGGCTGGTAATTGTAGGGAGACAGGATGTTGGAAAGGAGGGGAGGGAGGCAGTGGGGAGCAGCGGGGAGCAGGGCAGCATTGCTAGGGATAGGATTGCAACAGATAGGGCATGGCAGCAGGCCCTCCACAACTGTCCCAGTTTCTCATCTGGCCCCTTGGGAAAATAAATTTCCCACTCCTCTGACCTCATAATTGTTACAAAAAGAGTCTTCACAGTGTTTCTTTTTTTTTTTCCCAGATGGAAGAGCTTTAGGATATCTGTAATTTTTAAAATAATAAAGATGCTAGTTAATACAGGTAGCCCTTGAGTTACAATCGTAATGGAGCCTGCCTATTTGAGTCTCAAGTCGGGACAAACGTTAAATGAACTGTCTCAACCAGCCATCCCTGCTCTCCCCAGCATACTCATTAATCAAATGTGTGGGTCGCTAAGTGGAGCAGGGATGTTGCAGTGCTGGGGGAGATCCTGGGAGACCTACGGCAGGCATAAGCCCACCTGCCTTGGGCCTTCCCAGGCCTCCCCCGGCTCCTGAGATATCCTATGTTCCACTTCCCCCCTCGGGTGGCACAGTTGATTGTCTCACCAGCAAGAAAGAGCAGAGAAGGAAAATCCTGGGGGTGCCTAACTTTACCAGTTCTGTCACTGCTCTTCCTCCTGCCAAGGTACGCCTGCTTTTCTGGGGCAAAATAAGGATTGGTTCCCTAGCCTTTCGGAGCTTTCTACTCTGATCAGTTGGCCACTGATCAACTGGTTTCCAGGAGACTGCTAACCTCTCTTGCTTCTTCCTACCATTTAGGAAACCAGATCTTGCATGCGAAGGCAGCAGCTTTTGGGGTGAACTTCTCAAAGCTTTTCTCTTACTTTAATCCCCTTCTTCCTCCAGAAAGCCACATTTCTTCAATTTAAAAAAGAACAGTTAAGAGGGATATTCTTCTTGATCTTTGCGCATGCGCGCGCAAAATGTAAAATCACCGAACCGGTAGTTACACCGGTCGGATCCCACCCCTGTTTATAGCCCAATTCCCTAATGGAGACGTGTTTAATACATTCCTCCATAAAGTAATCATTTAGCAGCTTGTCAGGGCTTTAATTCTTTTTGTCACCTAGTTAAATAAAGTGGTCTCAAAGCTGAAATTGCCTCTGATTTTCTTTTAGATGAAGATATTGTTCTTTCATTTCTTCTTAATCATGCTTTTCTATGTGTTATCAATGCTATCAATATATTTTAAAAGAAGATTAATTTCAAATTATGCTATCCCAAGCTATAACATCAGATAGAACTTCTGATGTAAGAATAACTCTGTTTAGCCTTCCAGTCTGGACTGGAGTTTCAAAGTTCCCACGTGGTGAGGGAACTGAATTTCTCATAGGAAGCCTTACACCTCAGTTTTGTAACAACTGATTTGTATGCTACATAACAAACAAATCCCACTAACATTTTGTAAAGAAGATTCAGCCTGAGTAAGCCTCCTCAGGGAAGCCATGCTTTAGTGAGAACTGCTAACACTCAGAAGTAATAGTGTGAGATTCCTCATGCCATTACTTTAAATACACTGCTCAAAAAATAAAAATAAAGGGAACACTTAAACAACACAATGTAACTCCAAGTCAATCACACTTCTGTGAAATCAAACTGTCCACTTAGGTAGCAACACTGATTGACAATCCATTTCACATGCTGTTGTGCAAATGGAATAGACAACAGGTGGAAAGCATAGGCAGTTAGCAAGACATCCCCAATAAAGGAGTGGTTCTGCAGGTGGTGACCACAGACCACTTCTCAGTTCCTATGCTTTCTGGCTGATGGTTTGGTCACTTTTGAATGCTGGCGGTGCTTTCACTCTAGTGGTAGCATGAGATGGAGTCTACAACCCACACAAGTGGCTCAGGTAGTGCAGCTCATCTAGGATGGCACATCAATGCGAGCTGTGGCAAGAAGGTTTGCAGTATCTGTCAGCTTAGTGTCCAGAGCATGGAGGCGCTACCAGGAGACAGGCCAGTACATCAGGAGATGTGGAGGAGGCCGTAGAAGGGCACAACCCAGCATCAGGACCTCTACCTCTACCTTTGTGCAAGGAGGGACAGGAGGAGCACTGCCAGAGCCCTGCAAAATGACCTCCAGTGGGCCACAAATGTGCATGTGGCTGCTCAAATGGTCAGAAACAGACTCCATGAGGGTGGTATGAGGGCCCGATGTCCACAGGTGGGGGTTGTGCTTACAGCCCAACACTGTGCAGGACGTTTGGCATTTACCAGAGAATACCAAGATTGGCAAATTCACCACTGGCCCCTGTGCTCTTCACAGATGAAAGCAGGTTCACATTGAGCACATGTGACAGACGTGACAGGATCTGGAGACGCCGTGGAGAATGTTCTGCTGCCTGCAACATCCTCCAGCATGACCGGTTTGGCAGTGGGTCAGTAATAGTGTGGGGTGGCATTTCTTTAGGGGGCCGCACAGCCCTCCATGTGCTCACCAGAGGCAGCCTGACTGCCATTAGGCACCGAGATGAGATCCTCAGACCCCTTGTGAGACCATATGCTGGTGTGGTTGGCCCTGGGTTCCTCCTAATGCAAGACAATGCTAGACCTCATGTGGCTGGAGTGTGTCAGCAGTTCCTGCAAGACGAAGGCATTAATGGTATGGACTGGCTTGCCCGTTCCCCAAACCTGAATCCAATTGAGCACATCTGGGACATTATGTCTCGCTCCATCCACCAATGCCACATTGCACCACAGACTGTCCAGGAGTTGGGGGATGCTTTAGTCCAGGTGTGGGAGGAGATCCCTCAGGAGACCATCCGCCACCTCATCAGGAGCATGCCCAGGCATTGTAGGGAGGTCATACAGGCACGTGGAGGCCACACACACTACTGAGCCTCATTTTGACTTGTTTTAAGGACATTACATCAAAGTTGGATCAGCCAGTAGTGTTTTTGCCACTTTAATTTTGAGTGTAACTCCAAATCCAGACCTCCATGGGTTGCTAAATTTGATTTCCATTGATAATTTTTGTGTGATTTTGTTGTCAGCACATTCAACTATGTAATGAACAAAGTATTTAATAAGAATATTTCATTCATTCAGATCTAGGATGTCTTATTTTTGTGTTCCCTTTATTTTTTTGAGCAGTGTAGTTTGAGGCCATACAATCCCCAAATTCCTTACTTCCATTTATATATACAGACCTTCACTTAAAGCTCTTGAATGCAGAGATGTGGTCATGTTAGGATGTCACCTTCCCATGCCATAAATACAAGAAAAAACACTTATGAAGAAGCTTAGAATGTTTTAGTTCCCAAACAATTAACAACAGCTCTCCTAGCCTAACTTCCATGATTTCGAATGGGCTTAGAGGAGAATCAGAAGGAGTCTGGAAACTCAGCTCTCTAAAAGAGCTATATTTAGTTTGCAAAAAAGGAAGAGTGAGTAGAAACATGACAGTAGTCTGCAAATATTCAAAGGCCTGTCATATGCAAGAGGAATTGGGCCTGTCCTTGACTGAAATGAAAACAGAACAAGAATCCTGGGTTGAATTAAGATAGGAGATTCAGGTTGAATTTTAGAAAAAATATTCTATGTAGAAGTTACACAATGGATTGCTCTGTTTATAAAAATGAGGTCCACCTCTGGTTTTCAAATGTCATGAATAGTTTAGGGCAGAGGTGGTATTCAGAAGGTTCTGACCTGTTCTGGAACCAGTTCTGGAACCAGTAGCAGAAATTTTGAGTAGTTTGGAGAACCAGCAAATACCACCTCTGATTGGATATTTTACAGTATCTTTCCCCTGCCACACCCACCAAGCCACACCCACAGAACCAGTAGTTAAAAAATTTGAATCTCACCACTGGTTTAGGGATTTATTATTGGAGCAGGAATTGGATTGGACTAGGGAGATATAAATTTCTTTCCAACCTAAACATTCTATGTTTGTACAGACATACAGAATTATTCAGTCAGCCTAAACAAAAATGATAATGAGGTCAAGACACAAGAATACATTTCAAATCCACTAATATCCCAACTGCCATTACTGACTGGATTCCATTACTGACATATTGAGCAGATAAGTCGGAGGGGAACAGAAATGTCAATTGAAGGATTTTAAGAATAGGATTTATGTGGGAGATCTTATCTATTAATTTTCAGTTATACACAGGTTAAACTCCTGCAATAAATTGGAGCTATGTTTTATTCCAATACCCTCATTCCAACTCAGATGTTTAAAACCATAGCTTAAAATATATATTTATATTAGATTCTCACTGCCTGAGCTTCACTTCTGAAATCTTTAGTGACCTAGCTTAAATTTGTCACAAATGGGTTTTCATTCTTGCCATGCCCATTGCTCCAGGATAAACTGAAGATATGTAATCTGGATTATTCAATGTGATTGTGGACCTCTGAGTATCTCCATTGCAATTATTTGTTGTTGTTGTTGTTGTTGTTGTTACTATTATTATTATTATTTCTTTTATTCATTAAACATGAAAATCAGTCAACTGAACATTTAAAAATGTATCACAGATATTATTGTTGTTGTTAATGTTGTTATTATTGTTATTATTATTTTTCTTCATTCATGAAAGGCTTAAAAAATTAAAATATTGTTCTATATTTATGCTTGCAACTAATAAAAAAACCTGAGCATCATAACATAAATAGAGGAAAAAAACAAACTGTCAGATTAATCTGGGAGTTAGATTCTTCTCCAAGGTGACCAGACTTAATCATCTGTCTTCTGGAGACCCTATTGCCAGAGCTTGTCAGGACACTCATTTGTCATATGCCACCTCATACAGTGGTCCTTGAATTGTACATACACATTAAAACAGAACAGTAATTCAACAATCATTCTTCCAGACATGTCAACTGTGAAGTATATAATCTAAAATAACCCAAGCCAGTTCGTCTGAAGTGCAAACAAGCAGTTGGTATGCATAAAAAAAAAATCCGTAAGTGACTTTCAAAAAGTATTGCATCTGCAATGAGAGAAATACTGATGTTTGAATGAGAATTCCAGAGGGGTTATCAGAAATGTTAAGTTTTACATATCATTTGTCAATCTTACTGCATTAGCAGCTTTTAAAATACACTGACAAGACAGAATAATATTTCTTCCTGTTCTCCTTTTCTTTCTAAATAAATCCCATGTCAACTTTAATTACACTGTCAATTGCTTTTGTCCTTTAAAAAAGTTCTTCTTCTCTCAGCAAAACTACAATCAGGGTAAGGGAATCTATATTTTAGCTTTTTTAATAAATAAAAAAAAACCAGAGACATAAGCTCATTTTACTTTATCAAAGTTCAATGGTTGCCTTATACATAAATTGGAAAGACATCCAAGTTAGAATAGGAAAACATACAAGTAGTGGTCAGCTTGTGATCATTCATTCAGCAACAATTCAGAGTTCCAATGGCACTGAATGAATGATGGTTTACAACTGTTTCTGGATATTCTGGATTACAACATCCCTGCAGTCATGTGATCATGATCTCGATGCTTGGAAACAAGTTTGTATTTCTGACTAGATGCCAAGAGCCCCATAATCATATGATCACCATTTGTAACTTCTCCGAACTGCACAGCACCTCTCATGTGCCCTCTTACATATTCAGCATATATCCTCCCCAACTGTCCCTAGCAAGACACCAGAGCCCCAGTTACGTACCTCTTATCAAACATGACCAACACTTTGCCTGAATTTTTTACCTTGCAAAACCCCAGGCTCTGTCTGGAAACCCCTTTGGTACATCAGTTATCTGAGGTGAGCTGAACATGCCCCATCTGCTCCATGGAGAAGGATGATGCCAGCAAGGCTGAACACCAGCCCTGTCAAACTAAGCACAAGAATGACAAAGAACAGTTCAGTCAGCGTTCACTTCTTTATTTGCTTACATGTATCAGACAGAATCTTGCAACTTCTTACAACTCTAATCCTAATGGGATGTACCTGGCAGATTCTAAGGAGTGGTTATCCTTCTACTTCTTGGGTCCTCTATCCAGCTCTGGATAGGCTGTGTTGCCTCTTCTCTCTTCCCTGCTTCTGGAATGTACCCCCTACTTCCTGAGAAACTGTCGCTTCACTAAGGTCCATCAAACCAACTTCCACTCCCATCATCTCTCACACTCCCAGAGTGATCTGTCCATAGCAAATGATTGATGTAAATGTCTTCAACTACCAGATCTAAGATCATGTAGCAGATTTAAAATAATAATTTGCTTTAAAAATATAGAGAAACAATGGCAACTCTGAAAATATTGCTAATAATGGACAGCTAGAATGGGTGGAGAAATTATAAAAGCAATTTCTGGGGAGAATAACAGAATTTAGAACTCTTGCATCTTCATTCCCAGATCATATTTTCATATTTCTCACAGAATTTGTAGAGTGCGTAGCCGAGATGATGGTAACCTTGGGAACATATCACTAGTATGACATTAATCTGACCTGTTTTGAACAATTTATTTTTTCAGTAATTAAAGACTTTGTCATACTTTCCAGCAGCTACACGCTCGGGCACGAAAAGCATCATAGATTTTTAACAGACCAGAGAAGAACCCCGGACTGCTACAACAAGTGGAGGAGCCAAACTGGTCATGGACTTTATACTAAACCTCCCAGACAGTTTTGAACAAAGAGATTGGATCCTCTCAGCCATGTTTGCTTTTTGTTGGGTTTGTCAGTCGGAACATTGACATCAACCCAGAAAAATGTATTCACACAGCCATCCTAACATTACTTAATTGATTATTCAAAAAATCCCTTTAAACACCAGGAAAGCAGACTCTGGTTAAAACATAAATTACAAACAATAGAAGTAGTCTGAGAGTGGAATCAATTAACCAAAGGTATGATCTTGGGGTTAGCCTGGTTTACCAAGTGCACTGTAGAAGATAAACTGACAAAGGTATGTATTAACTGGACAATAGAATGTCAAGCAGCCTTTGAGAAGCTTGACAGTATGCTTATATACTGAAATAAAAGTTGAACATCCATTTATGGCGATGCTGTAATTTTGTGTCCGTGAATAGAATAGGGGTTTGGATTCAATAATCTATAATTTTTTCCCCCAACTTTGTGTGATTCTGTACACTAAATTCTGACCTGAGGATATAGAAAACAACATACCATGGAAATCTTCAACATTAAATGCATGGTAACTTAACATGGTGATGAGGAGGTGGATGTGACACTATGTATAATGTCGAGGGATGGAATGCAAATCTTTAAACTATTGATTCTGTGGGCATAGCTAGGTGGGCATGGCCAGGTAGTAATGTGATTGGGTGAGCGTGGAGGTTTTTTTTGGCCTACTAGGCCTCAGGGAAGCCGCCTGGGAGCAAAAATGGGGCAGTGGGGGCACAGTTTTTGCTTTCAAGAGGCTTCCCTGAGGCCCAGTAGGCAAAAAAATTTAAAAAAATTAAAACAATTTTTTTTTGTCTACTGGGCCTCAGGGAAGCCTTCTGGGAGCAAAAAAGGGGGTGGGGAAGCACAGCTCCCCCTGCACCCCATTTTTTGCCTCCTGGGCCTCAGGGAAGCCTCCTGGATGAAGCGGTACAACAGCGAGGGGGGTAATCAGCTGTGCCACATGATTTAGATTAGCTAGAAAGCAAGAAATCCAATGATTTCCTGCTTTCTAGCTAATATAAATCACGTGGCACAGCTGATTTTCAGAAAACAGCTGATTGGTGGGGGGAATAAAGTAAATACCTTGATCTTCCAGGGCAAACCGGTTCTCCTCCAGCTGATCTTTGGAGCTACCGAACCGGGCCAATCCCACCGGTAGAATGCCACCCCTGATAATGTCAGTGAATACTTACTTGTAACAGGTATCATTTTGTTATTTATATAGGAGCTTCACTAATAAGCAAAAATCTTGCTTGAAATCCCTCTACTAAAATACATTTAAAATGCACTTCCTAACTCATTCTAATTTTCAATTGTAATTCTACAAAAACTCTGCAGGCACACTTAAGAAACAGATTCCCCTGTAGTTAGAGCATTCATTTTTTTACACTTACTTTTTTCTTTTGCATAGGGAGATAAGATACCTAAGCCCAGTCATTTGGCAAAGGTGCTACTTTCACATTAAATGAGTAGCACAGCCACTTCATATACAATCCCTGGCCATATTTAACTTTTCTCCAATTATACTTTCAATACCTGCAGCCTTACAATTTTTCAACATTCTCACAGCATGTATAACTTCATTATTTTCTTTAATTTGGACACTATTTTTATAGCATTTGTTTCAATTCTGCTGTTTGACATTTCATTATCATTCTCACATAAATTTCTAAATAAGTCCTTCGGCACTTTCAATACCAATTTTTAAATAACTTCTTCCATCAATAGCACAATCACTTTCTTGCTTTGTTCATAACCAGGGGTGGGATCCGACAGGGTTAACTATCAGTTCAGTGATTTATGAGGTTCGGTGATTTACGATGTGCTTCCCTGCATGCTGTGCGAGCACGCCTGTAAATCGTCATCAGCACATTGCGTGCAGAGAAGCAGCCTTTGAAAAAGGACTTTTTTTTCCTGCATTTTAAACTGCAGCTGTGCCTCGTGTGGCAGCTGAAGTTGAAAAAGCAGGAAATAAAGGTCAGGTAAGAACCTGGGCGGGCAGGCAGGCAAAAACATCAGCAGACATAGAACCGGTTCTATGTCTGCTGCTCTTCAGAGCTACCGGTTCTACAGAGGTGGACAGAACCAGTAGAAACCCACCCCTGTTCCTAACCATCCATTAATAACATTTAGCAGAATAATTTTTCTCCTTGATTACATTCAGCATTGCACAATGTTTCCCAAATTTAATCTTTGCTTGTTCAATTATCAGTGTTTACTGAAGCATAGCAAACATCAGCAAGCTATGGATTCCAACTTTCCCACATATCCATAACGACTTAGATGCCATTAATTAATATTTTCAGTAATACAGTTTTACCCTTTTATTCACATTGCTTTTCTTGTTGTTGTTGTTGTTATGGTCTCACAGTTACCTCAAGGTTTTCAGAACTCTTCATTGGAAGTAAGGTTGGAAATAAGGGTAGATAAGATTGGAGACATGAATGTAGAAGAGACAGAAGTGAATGCAGATTACAGGTAAACTGAAAAAAATGGACAAAAGTGAAAGAAGACAAGAGAGGATATTTGGATGTCAAGTAACAGATGCAACTACATCAAGAAAAGATAATTGGACAGAGTCTGATTGAAGATACCTAGAAATATCTTACATCATCTTCCTACTTCTCATAACAATCTCCCCCCTCCCCCCAAGTCCTTCTCAAAGTAGGAGAGGCACCAAGTTATCATCAACATTTTATTGTAACAAGCCACTAATGAGCTGAAACTTTTTATCATTTAGCAAACTTAACTGGGATAGCAGTGATGGAGAACATGATTGAGTTAGAAGAAGAAAGTGACATGTCTCCATTGGATGTTAGACAGTGGAGCTGATTCAAATAGAAAGAAAACTATAGCAGTGGATGAATAGATAAGGAGACAACATGGGAGACAGGGATAATGGCTGGAGCAGTGAAACATACAGAGGTAAATGCAAATTAAGGCTAAAGGACAAAGACAGGTGTGAAAAAGAGCATAGAACAGAAAGGACTATCAGGATAATTACTAAGACAAACTGAGAAAGATCTTGGCATCTCAGCAAGCTGCTGGAAAAGAAAACAAGTGGAAGGTAACTGAAAATGGGAAAAGCAACAGATTTGATTTGAAACTGAGACATTGTAATATCTAGTGCTGTTTTAGGCACAAAGCTAGCTGGGTGACCTTGAGCCAGTCACTTTCTCTTAGCCCCAGGAAGAAGGCAATGGCAGGCTAAAACTTAGCCGGGAAAACTGCAAGAAGGTATCTAGGCAATCTCTGAGAATCGGACATGAATGGAAGAAAGAAAAAATAATTGGTTTGGGAAGATATGGGGGCAGTAGCTTGGCAAGTCATTCCAAAGAAAGGGAGGGAGTAGTCAGATGCCCATTTCTCCTATTCTGGGCCAATTGCTTACCCCAATATCCAGATACTGGATTGCTGATAACATTGGAATCACAAATGTTTCTGAAAAAATCCATGTCTGTGCAATAAGATCATACACAACTCCATTTTGATTTCAAATAGCAAATAGATCTAACCTACATTACCAAATGGCTGGGGGGCGACTGGTGATTCTGAAATCTGTCTTGCCAAATTTCAAGTTCTGCATCAGCCACAATCCCAAGGTATAAATGAAAAGGGATGGCAAGCGATGGAGGTAATAAATCATGAACATCAGTGGTGGGATTCAAAAATTTTTACTGCCAGTTCTGTGGCAGATGTGGATGTGGGCTCAATGGGCGTGGCAGGGGAAGGATACTGTAAAATCCCCATTCCCTCCCCACTCCAGGGGAAGGTTACTGCAAAATCTCATTCCCTCCACACCCCACTAACCTGCTTTCCAGTTCCGTTCTCCTGTGCAGGGCAACAAAAGAAGACCCAGCTGATCAGCTGGGATTCGAGAGGCAGAAAATAGATGGGGGCAGGGCCAGTCAGAGGTGGTATTTGCCGGTTCTCCGAACTACTCAAAATTTCCACTACTGGTTCTCCAGAACTGGTCAGAACCTGCTGAATACCACCTCCGATGAACATATTTGTAACAATAGGCACATCATAGGGATTGTGTTTGTGAAACCTTCCCTGCCTCTTTGAAGTGGTTACTGACAATCTAGAATTGACATAAGGGTGAGTC